GGAGTTGAAGTCCACACATCTTAAAGTCGCCAAGGTTGAAAAACACTGGGCTAAACGCTCCCTGGGCTAATTCCACTGGAGATGATGCAGTGTTTTGGGCCACAGAGCGATCTGTTGTAGAGCCTTGCAATTTCTTCGAGCATCCACCAGAATCCCAAATTGCAGCAAGCTGAACACCACACATACAGTTTATTAATGCTTTTACATGCCACATCAATTATTCTCAGCAGTGGTGAACAAATGATGGCTCTCCTCCAGGAGGAGCTATCTTCAATATGAAATGGAGGAAGGGGTCAACATAGATCGATGGTGGGGATGACGTATGGGAAAAGAGATGGAAACAAAGTGATCTCACCATCCACAAATCAGCCCACCCAGTTCCCAACCTGTGATGGAATTGGGATTCCCAAGATAAGGAGTACTATATAAATTGTAAAAACGTCCAGTTAATATCTCTGTTCATTTCCATGGCATTTAAATAGGCACTTGGGCACTAAAATGAGGTGCAGAACTTTTCAGAATGGATATGTGTGTGTACGTGGAATATTTGAGGATAAAATTTTGTAGAAACGTGTCTAAAGTGTCACACACGTGAACTTCCAATTCCTATTATTCTATTCATTGTGAGGAACTCTGGTCTGCATTAAAATCAGAATTGTTGGATACGTCATGTCTGTTCAAAAAATGATTTCTTTAATGGTACAGAATAGAGGAAAAATCACCTGGTGTCCTACTCTCTATCTCTATTCTGTTATGGGCTTACAAGGGTTAAAGCTGGGCTAATCAAAGGCCCCTCCCTTTGAGACTCTCCATGCCATTTCCCCACAGTATGACTTCTAACGGCTCCTGAAAATTCAGTGCCAACAGATAGTTAATATAAATTCTTGAGCTGTTTTTCACGTCTGTCTCTTCCTGCTTCTGTCTGCATTTTATCCCATTTTATCAGTTAACTGTTCCGGTGTTTGCTGATGTTTAATAAATAAACCTCAAGCTATATTTTTGCAAGTTGAAATGAGTGCATTTGTTCTGAGCCGGATGGCAGGACCGACTGGGAGCGTGTTGGGTGCAAACTGAACTGGAAGTCACCCACAGGGACTTTCTGTACCCAAAGGGTACCAAAACAGAGTCCAGAATGCTACCTTGAATTCTAACAATTATGCAAAGGTCCAGAGGTTAAGCAGTCAGGCCTGTTGGATGGGGGGCAATCAAGAAACCCCAGGGCTGCAGGCCAGGCGGGCAAGTTGAAACCCGTTCTGCATGTGGCTCATGGCAACCTTGTTCCTTAATGTGGGCACAAAAACTGCAGACATGTGAATGGAAGTCCCTAGCAGACCAACTTGAAGACTTCTCTGTTATCAAGCAAGGTGATGGTCATATCGAAGCCATCAACCAGAAGCAAAGGTAACCCGCTCCAGGTTAATCACTTTAAGACTGCATCTGAAATATCTTCAGCAAAGAGCAAATTCCACCGAATGCAGAAAGACATAATATGCGAGAAAAAAGTGCAAAGATTGCCCCAGGGATCTCTTCCACCCGGCCATCTCTAAAATGAAGGAGTCTGGGAAAAAAGGGCTAAGATGTACTTTTACTAAACCCTTCGTCGAAGCTCTTGAGCCTTTGAGAGAATAAGGAGGTAACAACTTTCTGGAGGACCTTTGCAATGGTGGTCTTGCAATGAAAAGCCTCCTAGCACGTTTCCTAAAGGAAATTCAACCGCCCTCCTGTGACAGCTCCTGTCTGGCTATTGGCCAATCCTAATAAACCCAAACCTGAGATGCTGCAATGACATTGCCGTGGTGAAATTAAGACTTTCGCCTTCAACCTGGCAATGCCATGGAAAAAAACCGGCCGGGGTAATCAGAGTGACGCGGATGACGCTGGTCTTGTGGTTGCCAAGAGCAGGGCTGAAAAGGGTCCTCTGCTTTTACTGTCAACACACCTGAGTAGTGCAGGTGAAACAGCATCCTGGAACCCCAGGGTTGAAAGAGGTGCTTCACCCTCCAGCTAACCTGGCTTAGCAGCCTCTTCCAGCTCTAGGATGCTGTTTAACCTGTGTTACCCCAGCTAAGATGGGTAAGCAGCCCTCAGCAACTGGGGGAGGGGGGAGAGTTAGGAGATGCATCATGACATCATTGTACACCTGTGACATCATCACGGCCCGGGTCAGGCAGCCCATAGCTCTGACTGATCAGCCCCATCGAGCTCTAATGAAAGGGTTCAGCCAGACTTCAGATTCTGCTATGTGGTTGTCAACCACAATTGGTGGCTTAGCATCTTGTGCGCCCCAGACCCCAGCAGCTGCCCTTGAGAATCTGGGGCCCTCCCCCAGCGGGGCTGCAACTCAGCTATTGGCTGCTTGGGGATTACTGGCACTGTAGTCCCCCATCCTGCAGGAGCCAGAGGAAGGGTGTCGTGCCCACACCTGGACCAGCTGGCCGGATCGCTGCGTGCCCCTAGGAAACCGGGCTCCCGGGGGGCCGCCTGGGGCCGAGTTCGGACCAGGCAGGTGACCAGGTCGGGCGCAGCCTGGCGAACCCTCATTCCCGCGTCACGCTGAGCTCGGCGGGTTCTTCCGGGCGTTTGCTCTTGGGCGAGCCCAACCCGGATGGCCGCTTGCGGACCCCGCGGATCTCAAC